TTTAGAAATGGGAGGAAAGGAGCTAAAGATGTAGGGAAGGTGTGATACGTAGGGGAAGAACAAAAAGGGAAAAGAAAAAAATGTGAGAGAATGAAAAGATGAAAATAAAGTGTTTGTAGATGGGGAGGGGAGGAGGGGGTGAAGGGAGGGCAGAGGTAAGGGGAAAAAAATGAGAATCAAGACTTGCCATGTAAAGGTACATGATCCCAACAATGAATGTAACTGTACTGTATCCCTAAATGTACCAATAAACTCAATAAAAAAAAAAAAAAATTCCCCAGTGGAGAACCAAGTTCCAAGCTCCTGCAGCAGATTCTCACCACTCACTCATAAACCGGCCTCAGCCCTAGCTTCAGGCAGCCTTCTCATTTTTGTAGCCAGGCTCATCTTAAAACCTTGTATGGAAGCACTGGTGCAGCTGCCACCATCATCGTGTGACTTTGCCAAACTTTGATGTTACCCAAAAGGCCCCTGAGACCTGTATTTAGAAAAGGAAACCCTCTCTCCATGGGAGCGAGGGTGCAAACTCCCTGTCCAGTGTTTTCACTGAACCTATGCCTGTCCTTCAGGACCCCACCTAGACTCTCACACCCTCCCTAATAGGCACAGTCTAATGAGAGACTTTATTTGCCAGGCAACCTTCAAAGGCTGGATGGACATCATGTATGCGGCCGTAGATTCCCGAAAGGTAAGGATGTGATGGTAAGACACAACCCTCCCAAAGGTTAGAAGGCAGGCAGCATGGTAGCCCCTCAACAGGAGAAAGCAGGGAGAGAGGAATTGAAATCTCTGTTTAGAACATTAATTGCTTGCTTTATTGATTACAAGTCATTTTCCTCCTCTCAGTAAGCCCTCGCCCTTTTACATTGGCTCCATAGGATTAGACAGTGGATTTTTACTCGGCCCCAGTGGAGCTGTCGACTCTTCAGTCCTACTGTGGAATAAAATTGTAGCTGTCAGCAACATTCCTCCCCTCCCCCTGCCTTGTAACCTGCATTTTCCCCACCGAAGTCACAACAGTGCTAGCCTCCTCAGGACTGGAGCTGCCAGGGCAGAGAAGGAGGCAAGCAGAGAGAATCAGGGAGTGCCCCACCACAGCTTGTCCTGCAGTCGTGTTGGAGTAACCCGCCCAGCCCTCAGGGTAGGTCCTAACTCATCCTTTCATCTCGTCGTTTGACAGCCTGATGAGCAGCCTAAATATGAGGACAACATCTACATGTATATCTACTTTGTCATCTTCATCATCTTCGGCTCCTTCTTCACCCTGAACCTCTTCATTGGTGTCATCATTGATAACTTCAATCAACAAAAGAAAAAGATAGGTCTCCTCCCCTCATTGCCAGTGGCCAGAGTTCAGCCCAGATGAGGGGCGCTCTGTCTCTTTTTCTAGAAAGAAAATGCCTCTTTCTCTAAAACCCAAGCTTTCGCCTTACCATGCCATGGCCCCACTACACATAGTCCCAACCAACTCTCTTCAGGACTGGATTTCTGCAGTATGTGGTTGAGGCCTAGTACTAGCTGGGGTCTCTCACCAGAGGTGGAAGCAGGGGCTGAGAGCACCTCTGCAACAGAAGTGAAATGGAAAGTAGCAGATGTATAGCTGTAGCCAGAAGCGGAAATTGTCCAGGTTTATAATTCTAATCACTGGGCACCTCTAGCAAATTGGGGTTTGAGAGGCCACCCCTGGGAAGTCCACTTTCTTGTCCCAGATGGTCCACAGTTTTTCTAAAGTAAATTCAAAAAATTACTCTTGTCATTTCATTTTGTAAGTCAAGAAACTCTCCACACTGCCTTCTTGCACCAGATTTTCCAAATTTGAATATCATCTAAAATAAACAGGACATTAACCAAGATTTGAAAATATTTTTATTTTAAAATGTTTATCAGAAAATCAAACCCAAAAAAGTGTGATGAGACTGTCAGATGTGACTGCCAAGTCCTTGCTTTCAAGCTTAGCTTCCCTGAGACAACTCAGAAATCCTGAATTGAAAACAAAGGCAGCTGTCTCTTTGAATTAGATTATCTCAGATGTACCTCACTTAAGATAGCTGTCAGCTAAAGTGGGAAGAAAAGAGATAAGTCTCCCTTCATTCTCAGTGTTGATCTTGAACCATAGGTCTACACCCTTAGCATGGGAGAGCCGGTTGTGATTGCTGTTCTCTTCTTTCCTCCTTTACTTTGGAGGTCAGGACATCTTCATGACTGAGGAACAGAAGAAGTACTACAATGCCATGAAGAAGCTGGGCTCAAAGAAACCACAGAAACCCATTCCCCGCCCTTTGGTGAGTATTTGTGCGAGCTAAAGGCACAATGAGAAGCTATTTGGAAAAAGACTGGTGGGGTTACTGCAAAGGAAATAGTAAGTGCCACTGGTCCTCTCCTCGCTGCCGCATTCAAAAGACCTGAGTGACTTGGCAGTAGAACACAGATGAAAGATGGCTTGGCTTTTACAGTCATACAGTCCCTCTCCTCTGTGGGAAGCAGCCAAGAATCAGCATGTTTACCACACTGGCCCTGGCCCAGGTAGAGAGAGGTTTTAAGAGACAACCAAAAATGAACAAAGAAAAATTGAACAAGCACTTATCCCTTTCCTGCCAGTTCAAGATAAGATTTGGTCGTTACTTTCTCAGCTTCTGTGCCCAACCAGTAGAGCTTTTCAGGATGTGTCTGGAACAGTGCTAGAGCGGTGCTTCTGGCTGGGAGAGCAGAAGAGGGTGAAAGTAGGAGAGTCTGCCGCCCTGATCTCCTCTCTGTAACAGCCTTTCGCACACTGGATTTGAAGCTGAAATTCTGCTTCACCATTCCTTCGTTGTCATTCTCTCATTTCAGAGGAGCAATCTCAAAAGTTCTTCTTCTATAACTTAAAGTATTTTTTTTAAACAAAAACAGCAGAATCCTTAAAATCAAAGCTTACCTGCTGGGGATGTAGCTCAGTTGAACTACACCTGCCTGGCAAGTGCAAGGTCCTGAGTTCAATCCCCAGTACCGAAAAAAAACAAAAACTAACCAAAACTTACCTGGTGATCTAATTTGTGGAAGTAAAAGTAGAACTTTTACCTCAGAGTTGGCATTCCAGAGTGCTTTCCTCACATACCCCATGTCTGTTCCTGCTGAGGAGAAAAAAGCCCTGGGCCTTTGCAGAGCAGTTTGAAAACTACAGAGTCAAAGCAGTCCTGAAAATAAGCACCAGCTCAAGTGCCTAAGTACTTTTAAAAGATCAGGGAAATCTTAGCAAAGAGAACTGTTATTGTATTTCCATGATGTTAAGATTTTCCAGCTGGGCATGGTAGCACACATGTGTAATCCCAGCACTTGGCTGGCTGAGGCAAGATTGAGTTCAAGGCCAGCCTGGGATACATAGTAAGACCCTATCTCAAAAATCAGAGCGAGAGAGAGCTGGGATTTAGCTCAGTGGCACTACTGCCTGCCTCACAAACACAAGGTCCTAAGTTTGATCCCCAGTACAAAAATAATAATAATAATAATAAGATATATCTTGAAAAAGTACAGATTCCCAATGATGAATGTCATCAAATGGTATATCTTAAATGTACCAGTAAACTTAATGAATAAAAAATAAAAATAAATAAAAACTTGGGCTGGGGATGTAGCTCAGTGGCACAGGACCTGCCTGGCAAGTGCAGGGTCCTGAGTCCAGTTCCCAGTACCAAAAATAAAAACTTGATGTTGTAGAAAATAAAGAGTAATTACGATTCTTTCAGCACATACTGATAGATCTCCCTGTATGTATCAGGTATTCAACATAAAGTGATAAAGTATAGACACTGATACCCTAGGGGCTTACAATATAGTGGGGATGGGAGATAGGTAATAAGTAATCCAACAGCTACAATAACATGGAAAATCATGGGAAAAAGTAACTGGGGAAAGGACCGTGAGACAGAGAAAAACGGAGGGTTATAGGAGTAGATCTGCTTCAGTGTAATTGTCAGAAAAGCCTCATCAAGGAGGGTCTCCTGAAGTGGATGGAAAGGCATCAAAGAGCCAGGGAATGAGATTCCTGGAAAAACAACTAAGATCCTAGAAGCAAGAAAAATTAGTTTGACCTTGAAGCAAGGAGCAAGAGAAGAGACTGGCAATGAGCAGAATCTGACTGTGAAGGCATCTCTCAGCCAAGGGAACAATAGGGATTTTGTTGAAAGCCCAAGGAGAAGCTATTGAAAGGTTTAAGTGGGAGGATGATGCAACCCATTTATATCTTTAAATAATCACATATGCCTGTTTGGAGACGATACTAGAGAGGAAGCAGGGAGAACAGTTAAAAGGCTTCAAGAAATCCAGGTGAATGGTGATAACGGCTTAGGATAGTAGACCACTCAAAATGGAGTAAAGGGCTGGGGATTTAGCTCAGTGGTTCCACCGCCTGCCTCACAAGCACAAGGTCCTGAGTTCAATCCCTGGTACCAAACAAAACAAAATGGAGTGAAGCAGGTAAAATTCAAGTAATATTCTTGGAGGAAGGTCAACAACAGAACCCTCAGAAGGGGGATGAAGGAGATGAAAGAGATGGACCCTCAGATTTCTGGCTTGAGCGATTGGATGAATAACTGAGAGGAGCTGAACAAGGTAGGTGAGGACCAGGGGGAAAGATCTGGCTCTACCTTCGACCTTACGAGTCATAAAGGAGAGATGTTGAATGAGAACCCTAGGTCTGTAGATGCCAGGTCAGCAGTAGGGATGGGTGAGCACTCCTGCTGTGCTAGCATCAAGAGTTGGCTGGCAGATGAGACTAAGAGTGGGCACTCAGAGAAGTCAGAAGACCTCCAGAAAGGTGTGACGTTACAGGCTCGAGAGGAGAGTGGCCACTTGAGCTGTCTGTCTCGTGGTGAGGCAGTCCTGATGGAGCAGGAGAGTTGCCAGCATTTCAGAAAAGAGAAGAGCGCTTCTCCGAGAAGGGTGGCAGCTCCCACGGGTCTGCTCAGAGAGGTTTTCACCAATCCTTTCCTTCCCTTTCTCCCCAGAACAAAATCCAAGGTATCGTCTTTGATTTTGTCACTCAACAAGCCTTTGACATTGTTATCATGATGCTCATCTGCCTTAACATGGTGACAATGATGGTAGAGACAGATACTCAGAGCAAGCAGATGGAAAACATTCTCTACTGGATTAATCTGGTCTTTGTTATTTTCTTCACCTGTGAGTGTGTGCTCAAAATGTTTGCCTTGAGGCACTACTACTTCACCATTGGCTGGAACATCTTTGACTTCGTGGTGGTCATCCTCTCCATTGTGGGTGAGTGGGGCAGGACAATGGGCACAGGGAAAGGGCCCTAACTGGCCTGAAGGATGAGATTACAGGGAGCAGCAAAGTAACTGTCCGAGGGCCAGGGATTTAGCTCAGTGGTTCTGGTGCCTGCCTCACAAGCACAAGGACCTGAGTTTGATCCCTGGTACTATTAAAAAAAAAAAAAAAAAGTAACTGTCTGAGTTACAGGCAGGTAGACTGCCCTCATAGCTTAAGCCCATGTAGAACCCACAGTCATCTCATGGATCTGCCTAGTGGTTTACATGGTCAGTGAGTTCCTGCTGAGTATTCACAGTAGCCTTGGGTTGTAAATGCTGTGGTTCAGGGAGGGAAAAGTATAAGATTTGGTTCTTACTTTCAAGGAGTTGAAAGGTAAAAGAAACCTGTCATATATTTCTATATTCATGTGAATGAAACTGGGTTCCCAGCACCACAAAAGAAAAAAAAAAAAGAAAAAAAAAAAATATATATATATTCTAATATTTATTAGATAATAGGGCCAGGGATTTGGCTCAGTGGTTCCACCACCTGCCTCTCAAGCAGGCATATATATATATATATATATATACATACATACACACATGCTCCGCTTTGATGCCAGGTAGTTCAACTGACATATTACAGTACCAGTACCGGTAGAGAGTGTGCTCAAAACTCACAGAAAGCACCTCCAGAGCTCCGGTGGCCACACTGTATTGATCAAGGGGGTCACTGTGGCTACCAGCTGGTCTCTCATTAGCCTGTGCCACCCTCTAGTTCCATCCTCCAGAACAGTGTGACTGGAAGTGTGTTGATACACAGAACATTAATCCCATAAAGGAATGACTTCGAGTAACTCTGTACATGGAATTTCCCTGTAAGAGTCACAGTATACGTTGGCCTCCTAAGGTCCTTGAAAGTCTTATGGTAATCCCACCTTGATTAGACCACCACACCATTTGTCTAAATGTAGTGGTAGCTCACTTTTTAATGGAATATATTACAACTTGGTCATGGTCCTAAGCACTTTACATGTGTTAACCCATACAGTCTTCACAATAAGCCTCTAAGTGTCATGAGGAACTGAGGCTCAGAGAAGTTCTCGAGACTTGTGGCAGGTAACCATGAGAGCAAGTGGGGTCCAAGTTTGTCCCCTGACCTCAAGTCCATGCTGACTTCCCACAAAACACAGTGCGGACAGCGCTGCCCTTGCCCACCATTCTAGAACATTTCTGCAAACCCATTTTTGAGTAGAATAGAGAATCCCCTGACATATCACACTTCTGTGTTTAAATGGTCCTTTAAAGTAAAGAGAGAGAATAGTGGTGCTTTTGATGATTAGGATTTTTATCAAATGTTAATTTGTTGAACAACAAAAGTATAGAAATTGTCTCTTTAGTTAGAGGAGTTAGGGGCCTAGTGCAGGGGTATACCTGTAATCCCAGCTACTCTAAACGCCAAGATGGGAGGACCATGAGTTTCAGAGCAGCCTGGGCAAGTTAGTGAGACTCTGTTTCAAAAAAAGAGGGGGAAAAAAAAACAGGGCCAAGGATTTAGCTCAGTAGCACTGCACCTATCTTGCAAGCACCAAGGTCTTGAGTTCCATCCCTGATACCAAAAAAAAAAAAAAAAATAGGAGTTGGGGTAAAACATCCTCGAACCCCTTAAATGATGTTTCCTTGCCTAGATTCTTGTCTGCCCCATTTCTTTCCTATTTTCTTTGGTGGCAGTTGTACCTTCATCCTTCAAAACCTTAGATATTATCATTTCTCTGAAGCTTTATTTCCCCATCATATATGGGATATAAGAATTACCTACAGTACATTTTATATTACCTGACTTCTTATGGTCCTGGGGTTTTTTGTTTGTTTTTTGGTTTCTGGTTGTTGTTTTTGTTTTTGTTTTTTTGGTTTTTGAGACAGGGTCTCACTATGTAGTTGAGACTGACCTGGAACTCATTATGTAGCTCAGGCTGGTCTCAAACTCACATCGATCCTCCTGCCTCAGCCTCCTGAGTGCTGGGTTTACAGGCATGCACCACCACGCCCGGCAATGGTCCTGGTTTTGATTTAGTTGAGAGGTAAAGGGCTGTAGCTCAGTGGCACCATGCCTGCCTCACAAGCACAAGGTCCTGAGTTTGATCCCCGGTACTGCGAAAATAAAAAAGGAAGTTGAGAAGTAAAAAGAAAGTTGATAAGTTATCTTGTGTCCTGGCTGAGGTAGAAATTTCCTGGAAAGCACAGACACCCTGTGGAAGCTCAGCTTCTGAAGAGAAGATTATCTGGCCATTCTCTAGACTCCGTCTCTGTCCCTTCCTGAAAGTTAGAACGTCTTTCCTTGCTTAAAATCTTCAAATAAAAGACTCTGTAGCCTTTGGCAACTAACTGCCCCAATGTTTATAAATTCTTATGGTTAAGACACACCTCCTCCCTTAAAATAAATGTCATTTCTGCTGTCTGTGGCCCCTCCATCAGATCCCCCTTGTTGCTCTCCAGTTTTAATGACAGATGGTTCCGTTGAGATGGACCCATGAATGAGTGTAAATGGATTTGCAGATTTTCTCCCTCTCCTTTTGTGTCTCACTAACACTGTGGCATTTTTACCTGATAAAACTGTCTTCTAGTTTATGGCTTTCAGCTCAAAATCTAGAAACTCTACAGCTGAAGATTTAGCTCAGTTGTTCTGCTGCCTGCCTTGCAAGCACAAGGTCCCGAGTTCAATCCCCAGTATTTTAAAAAAAAATCTAGAAACTAAATTGAAAGCCACTCCAGAATGAGCCCCTTAGTTTTCTACACTAGTTTGATAGAGTAGAGAGATAGGGAGATGAGAAAACAAAGATTTTTTTTTCAGATCCAAGCAAAAGATCCTTTGAAAGTTGGTGGCATTAGCAAAATAGTTGACATCAAAGTCAGAGGATCATGTGCTCATGGGGTGTGACTGGGACCTCTGGGTGTGGAGATGGGAATTTCATGGCATTGTGGAAAGCAATTAATAGCACTTTGAAAAGCTGTATATACAGGCATTTGAATAAAATAAAAGTAGTCTTTGAAGAGAAAACAGATAAATGAGAGTATCACAAAAGAGAGTATCATTTTATTGTTAAATGAATAACCTAAAATTATTTTAACACAAGGGATCAGTCTCACAAACAAAAACAAAAGATCTAAGTCTAAAAAGATACAGTATAATCTAAACATAGTAGGATATTATATATTATTTATGGTTTCATACATAGAAAAACTGTAGAACACAAATGATACATACTTCAGGATTATAGATGACTTGGGGGATAGAGAAAAAAGCAGCAAATTTGGTGAAATGCTAGCCTCCGTTAAATCTGTGAGTTAGTTACTTAGGAGTCTGTATTGTGGTTTTTTGTTTTTGTTGTTATTTTGTTTTGTTTTGGTACTGGGGATCGAACTTGGGTCCTTGTACTTGCGAGGCAGGTGGCAGAACCGCTGAGCTAAATCCCCTGCCCTGTATAGTTTTCTTTTCTATATTCCTGAAACATTATTTTTATTATGAGAGTTCAGGTTGAGTAGTAAAACACTTTATGCTACAAAGCCCGTTGAACCCAAGAGTTCTACGGTGCCAATAAAAGAAGAGAAAGAGCATTTCCAACCTCAGTAACATAACTTCTTTTGTTCCTGTCTTAGGAATGTTTCTGGCTGATATCATTGAGAAATACTTTGTTTCCCCAACCCTATTCCGAGTCATCCGGTTGGCCCGTATTGGGCGCATCTTGCGTCTGATCAAAGGTGCCAAAGGGATTCGTACCCTGCTCTTTGCCTTAATGATGTCCTTGCCTGCCCTGTTCAACATTGGCCTTCTGCTCTTCCTGGTCATGTTCATCTTCTCCATCTTTGGGATGTCCAATTTTGCATATGTGAAGCATGAAGCTGGCATCGATGACATGTTCAACTTTGAGACATTTGGCAACAGCATGATCTGCCTGTTTCAGATCACAACCTCAGCTGGTTGGGATGGCCTGCTGCTACCCATCCTTAACCGCCCCCCTGACTGCAGCCTGGACAAGGAACACCCAGGGAGTGGCTTTAAGGGAGACTGCGGGAACCCCTCTGTGGGCATCTTCTTCTTTGTAAGCTACATCATCATTTCCTTCTTGATTGTGGTGAACATGTACATTGCCATCATCTTGGAGAACTTCAGTGTAGCCACAGAAGAAAGTGCAGATCCTCTGAGTGAAGATGACTTTGAGACCTTCTATGAGATCTGGGAGAAGTTTGACCCTGATGCCACCCAATTCATCGAGTACTGTAAGCTGGCAGACTTTGCAGATGCCTTGGAGCATCCTCTCCGAGTGCCCAAGCCCAACACCATTGAGCTCATCGCCATGGATCTGCCGATGGTGAGTGGGGATCGCATCCACTGCTTGGACATCCTTTTTGCCTTCACCAAGCGGGTCTTGGGAGACAGTGGAGAGTTGGACATCCTGCGACAGCAGATGGAGGAGCGGTTCGTGGCATCCAATCCTTCCAAAGTGTCTTACGAGCCAATCACAACCACACTGCGACGAAAGCAGGAGGAGGTGTCTGCAGTGGTCCTGCAGCGAGCCTACCGGGGACATTTGGCAAGGCGAGGTTTCATCTGCAAAAAGATGACTTCCAATAAGCTAGAGAATGGAGGTACCCACCGGGAGAAAAAGGAGAGCACCCCATCCACAGCCTCCCTCCCATCCTATGACAGTGTAACTAAACCCGACAAGGAAAAACAGCAGCGGGCAGAGGAAGGAAGAAGGGAAAGAGCCAAAAGACAAAAAGAGGTCAGAGAATCCAAATGTTAGAGGAAAGCAACAGTGAAATATTTACTGGTTTAAAACTTGCAAGTGAAAGATTGTTTACAAACTTCCTGAATATTATCAATGCAGATCAGCTGTGGAGACACTGTAACCTGAAGATCTATACCAAACGTAGTCTGCTTATCATGTGACACGGTTGCATCTTGAGCAGTGACCTGCCAAGGGCAAAAGACCCTGCTCCCTGGACTCACAGATTTTCTATTGCTTGGGCAGGTGGTTACTGCATGTTCCACATTCAGTCAATGCAACTTAGAACAAAACTAACAGGATACAAAAACAGACGAGAGGCTGCCAGGACCAGCATATTTCCGTTGCAGCCAAATGGATTTTATTTTTTCATTTTGTTGATTCTCAGAAGCAGAAAGCATCACTTTAAAAGTTCGTTTGTTCATGCAAACTATATTTGCATTCTTACATTAGTTAAGCTAAGCGGCAAAGAGAAAACACACACACACACACACACACACACACACACACACTCTCTCTCTCTCTCTCTCTCTCTCTCTCTCTCTCTCTCTCTCTCTCTCTCTCTCTCATATTTAGCCCATGTCATTAAATGGTCAGTTACTTTGACATAAATCACATCTTCTCCACATGGGCTTCACATGGTTTGGAGATGGGTGGGGGAACACAATCAGGTTTTTCAGGCTGAGGAGGACTTGCTCAGGCCAATTCCAAACATTGTGCTCGTTCAATGCATAGAAATGATTTGCATGATGGCATGCTGTGATCAGAAGTCATGCATGAGATCCATACACCACAGGACACTACTAATCCTGTACCCTGCATTGGGTCAGCCTTTGGACAGAACCCAGCCCTGCACCGTTCACTGTATTTGGAGAAAATGGTAAGAGTTCCATACTGGCTGCAATTCTTTTTAAGTCTTTAAAGTGTTTCATACACCTTCTGGGTAGGGAAACATAACTAATCAATTGACCACCACCAACAAAAAACAAACCCAATCCAATAAGCAGATGGATCCGTTGTGTGTATATGTTTAACAGACATCTCTAACATACAGCCATTGTTGCACATTTTGCAAGATAAACTACTTAATGCTGCTCTGTGTCTAGTACATGGGGAGACTTTGACCCCGAATGGCTTGTACTATTAATGTCACTGTAAAACCAAATCCTAGGGCTAAAAAAAAAAAGTTCATTTGTATCTTGCAATATTTATGATGATTGTTTAGCCTTCATACTGGAGAACTGACACTTATTTAGGGTAGAGATAAACGTGCTATTTCTAGTAGCACGTTTATCTCTAGGGGTATTTTGGGGAACCTAAAATGACCTTTTATTGGGGGATATGGGGTGCTCATTTCATTTAGTGTCATGTCCTTCTGCATTGTGGCTTTCTCCAGGCTTGGGTCTCTACGGAGAGGCGTTCAGATATTCTGACCTGCCCTCTCCTTTCTGCAGAGAAGTTGCCATGAGCTCACACCTGCATGGTTCCTCCTGCCTCCACCATATTTCTCCATCAAGCAGGGCTTCCCTTCCCACCCCTCAGGGCTGGTGAGGGCAGCAACATTGGATATGGCTACAGTTTCTTTCATTTATTTTTAGAATAATAGTCACTGGTGGGGCCTGAGGTAGAGATGGAGCCACCTCTTAACCAAGCCCACTTGATTTCTTTACTGCACTGGTTTTTATGACAAAGTGACTTGATATTAATTCTTTGGGATATTCCAGCTTCCCCCAGCACACTCCCTTTCAGCCAGTTTTGCTGTCTGCTTAATGACCTGCCCATTGTCAATGGAGAGTGGCTTCTGGGGGAGCGTCTTCTCCTTCATTCCGTCTCCTGCTTTATGGAAGACAGTTCTTAGTGCAGGGGTATATCATGTGATGACAAGGTTTCAAAGCCAAGACACTGCAGTTAGATGTTTCAGGAAGTCTATTTGAAGAGCGGAGAAAGACTGATGAACCAAATCAAAATAAATTCTTCCCGAACCATATAACAGAGGGGCAAAAGAAACCAACCCGTTACCAGACACACCAATCTGCCTTGCAGTACAAGCACTTTGGATGTAACTTTACAGTCCACTTGACTAGTTTTGCATAGAACAAACCACGGCAGCTCAGTAAGCAGAGCTTGCTATCTTGCTGGATCATTACAAACTCCATCCAGTGCTCTCAAGCCTGCTTCTGCGGCACCATCCGTAGGGTTTTGTACTACGCCTGATGCCAGATTGGGAAGGCATTTCCCTCAGTGCCCCTGCTAACTGCTAGGATGAATGAATGTATAGTACCATGTACAGGTGACATTGTAAACAGCACAAAACAGAAGCTGACATGTGGTTATTCTTTTTAAGAGAATTATAAATACTGTAATATATAATTTTATTTTATTGGCATGCCTTTTGTAAATACAAATTATTAACTTATTAAATAGGAAATGGCTTCTGGCTTATGCCATTGTCATGTTTATTTTTATTTTTTATACTTTCCTTTCTTCTTAGAACTTAGATGCTGTCAGCCAATGTACATCCCCAAACCAGACAGACAGACAAAAAATTTTTTATTGCTAATGGTCTTTTCCAAAACAACAAAAATATATATTTTTGTTCCAATGTGCAATAAATTCTAACCACTTCTATGCAAGATTTGGCTAAACTTAATAATTGTTCTTAGGTCTTGAGATGGGCAACAGAACTATCCAATCCCACCAAGTACACCAAGCACTCATGCTAGTGATGTCATTAAGCTGCTAGTCTATTAATGTTTAGATTTCTCTGAGATCTGACCATTTTCCTCCCCCAGCTCCTGATCCCGGCCCAGCAGGCTGTCTCCTCAGTAACACATGGGCCGTGGTACATGGCACCCATCAGCCAGCTTCCTAGGACAGAAGCCACCTCCACTGTATCTGAAGTTTTGCTTTTTTTTTTTTAATTTTTCCTACCTCTTCTCCCTCACCCACTATCCCTCCTCCCGGTCATTCCCTCACTCTCTCACTCACCCATCCTGCTCCACACTTCTTTGGTAGTAAATGACACCATCACCAGCAGTTTACACCTGCAGTTAACAGGCATTGAACTGAAAGGATCAGCGATGACATCTTTGCACGTCCTCGCTGAGGGGGTAAGTGGCAACGCTTTGCCAAATATTAACAAAGCCAGTCAAAACAGCAGCAGCCACAGTATCACTGCACATATATATATATAGATATATAAATATAATATAAATATTTATTTTTTGTAGCCAGGTCCTTGGTGCAGTATTTATACTCCACACACCTGCAGTCATTGAACTGAAAGGATCAGCGATGACATCTTTGCACGTCCTCGCTGAGGGGGTAAGTGGCAACGCTTTGCCAAATATTAACAAAGCCAGTCAAAACAGCAGCAGCCACAGTATCACTGCTCACTGCAC